TATTGCCATACATAATATTGTATTAATTTATGACACATATAAGTAATGTCTTTGAAAGACATTTAGTGAACGTGATATATAATAAACAGTCAACTTTATGGATAACATTCACAAGGTTTATTAACTGGGGCGTTTCAACTTTATCACATAAAAGTACATTTATAAAAAAAATTACTAACTGTTCTACCCGCCTGAATTCATGAAACGATGACCATGGCATCATGGTAAGGTAGACTTGTATAATGTTCTTCAACTATTAATTAATGTGTGTTACATGTAGTTCGTTCATATGTGGTATAACTTGTAAAATTTAAAACTCCCAAACCAAAGGGATGAACATATAGTAAAATGTGGGGGTATAAAAAGATTTACCTTCTTATTGACCTTCATCTTGAATTAATGTTAGCCTGTACAATCACGAAATAAACGACAAATAATATCAAATCAATTGAATGGTGTATGTAAGATGATGAACCTACCTGTTATGATTATAACTTTTCCTTCCAACGAGGTCATTGTAGTAACTTGTGTAATCTAGACGACTGATCCCGCATAAATATTATTTAGTCACGTGATTCGTATAAACCAACCGTATAGTAGGGTGACCCTTGCACCCAAAATGTTCGTACAGAAAGTTGGTCTCGACACGGCGAATGTACACGGAGTGATTTCTCGCTTACTACGCAGTGTGATAATACTCAGCTGTATAGTCTATGATACTATTGTGACGTTTCTTTGTACGCAACGAGTCAAGGAATTGAAAAGTTCAGGGGGTGTTTAGCTCCATAACACACAAATATACCACATATATCTGAACCACGTTTGATTGGTCCACCCTCCACAATTTTATGTGAGCTTAAATAAGTCAAATTGATAGGAAAACGGCAGCTCTATACGATTTTCTTTTCTTTTCTGTGTTTATTTCAATGAATGTAGACCAGACTGTTATCAGTTGGCAACCAAACAGAAGGTAATGTTATCGGAAGATAAATAAAGCACCAATCGAGTATATTGGAATAATCAAGGCTATATACTATCCAGAATTTAATAAGCATATTTAATATTTAGTATGCATACTAAATTGATGACAACAAATTATGGAGATTTAATATTGATGATACTCTTGAAACGTTGAATCTTTGCAGGAATTTTAACAGCTTACATTACATTTTCAGTTGCAAAGAGCTGTGAGGAAATGTACGAATGTAACTATGCATTTAATAGTCCGGTCTATCATAATTTCGGCTCGGGGGTTTATAAATCCAACGTGTATTGCTCCAAGCCAGGTGACGGGGTTATTAGAAGCTATATTGACGTCACGGGGTCATCCGAGACTCCAAACAAAATCTACCCTGCTACAAATTGTATAGTTGGAAATGCTGACCCAGGTGAAGTCCCTGAACATGGAAGAACATCGACACAAAAACTACACGTAGAATTCAAATCTGACGTAAGTTGCATATTTTCTCGTTCGGTCTTGGATCTAAACGTGCGCTTCCAACAAGGATGATATCGCAAACAATCATGGTTTTCTCTGTTTATGTGAGTTTATATTTATAGTCCAAAAATCAAGACCGATTGTTAATCATCGCGATTAATGATTACTAGAAGTAACGTTGATACTTTGACCACTTCTACCCACCATTCTCGGTATCCCCAGTGATCTCATACCGTCCCACTCCACTAACACATGGGTTCATTCATTGGGTGACACCTATTCAAGTTATCTGCCCTTGATGATTGTGCGATCTTTATCGAAGAAAGTCTTATTTTCAGAGATGGGTTTTAACGTCCACTCGACACAAACTAGGTCATTTCGGGACTAACACATGGTTCAATTTTATTTCAATAATTCTCTTTCGCGTATGTGTGAGAAAAACGGAGGATCCGGATAAAAAAAACTCACGAGGTTGGACAGATTGTCACGTACAACCGGGAATCGAAACCACGCCAGTTGACTCAATGACGGGCCTTATGATACAGCGCGCTTGTGCTAACCATTCGGCCATCCAACCCCCCGGTCATAAAAGAACCCTTAAAGATACACTGTTGGAGATTAGATAAAGAGCTGGCAGCTCTCTCTCTCTCTCTCTTCCTTTTATGACCATTGAATGTTTATATTTTTGCAGCACGTATAAGCCTATCCGTACACAATAAATTCGTACACGTCAAGTGACACACAGGGTGGTACGATGAGACCAGCTTCAGTTTGTTATGGCTGTGATTAGTCAGAACGTGGCTGCTATCCACTTAATGGTTTTGCATATATTGGTATTTAAAGTTCAGCCCAGAGGTTAGTTAATGTAGCCTTTCAATAACTAAAATCACTATTATAACATTAGTTTTAACGTTTTCAATAGCTAATGTTGTAAGTATCCAACGCTTCACCAATTGGACCGTTGTTCATATTCGAATATTAAACATACATTATCCAAGAGCTTAATCTGCACATTGCAAGTCTTTATTTAGACTTCAGATGTTATAGACATTATTAATTCGACATTTATTGACACGACAAGCTCAAAATCAACTCTGTAGACCCACGGATGGCGGACCAAGCTAACGTTTACCGTTAGTCGCAGATGTCACTACGGTGAAAGCTGGCGATGAAAGGCCTGCCAGGCGAGGCCACCATAGCCACTGAGCATGTTACTTGATAATCGAGAATATGTGGGTGGAGTTATCGTCTGTCAACCAAACGATAGTCAATTCTCATAGACGGTGCAGACACAATTGATACCTATTTCTAGTCCAAACTTCCAACAGTGACAATTCCGTTCAGAACAATGTAATTTGACTGACATTTTCAACATTGTCTTTCTTTATCATCTTTTTTTGAATTATTATAGCAAGAATGGCCAACTCTTTATAAAACTCTTAACTAATGTATCTTTAATGTTCGGTGTCTTGTCCCTTTGTAATGAATTGTTAAAATTATCATACATTTGTAATGTTCCTTTGTAATGAATTGTTAAAATTATCATACATTTGTATGACTCTTAAACATACACATGTACCAGCTAAAGTAGGCTTTTGATTATGCCAGTTTGATAATACCTACCTTTAAATCATTTTGAATTTATACCATGTTTCTTTGCCTGGCAACCGACCTTATAGAGTGGGTTTAACATGCAATATGTGTAGTGAGCTGGATCGCCATATCCTTTCTATGTATTTCAGCAAACTTGGACATTGACCTCACTTGGAAGATCCTTCATAGAACATATATTTCCAGACAATCCCTACCAAAAGGGTGTTAAGTGTCATGGTACCCCTGCAGGTTGTGCAATAGTAAAACCAAGTCCCAAGGTTATGGTACTATGCCCAGATGAAACAAGTACGTATGCGAAGTTGCTACTTTGCACTTGTGAACATGTGACTTTTTCTAATGTAAGACTTTATCACCAGCATATCTTGGCTGTCAATAGCATATGTTCATTGTTTGCTTGTTGAAGCAGAGATCGATTGAAGGCAACCGACTAACCGAAAGCACAACCGTATTTCTGGCCATGCAAGCAATTTGCAAACGATGCTTAATGTATTGGCACCGCTGCCCTTTCACTATATAGTTAAGGTGGGTCGCTATTTTGTAATATCACCTGCTATTTTCCCTTGCGTTCATTGCCCGAAGATGGTCACGGTGGCTAAGTGGGTAAGATGCTGGCTCGCTAGCCTGGATGTCGGGCGTTCGATCCCTGCTTTAGCCGAGAAAGTTCATTCAGCGTGTCATCACTGTCAGTGATGAAGGACGGGCAGCTGTCTAGTCGTTCGGATGGGACGAAAAACTGAGGTCCCGTGTACACATTGGCGTGCACGTAAATTCGATATAAGAGTAGGCCGTAGTGCCACTGTTCGGACAAAATTTCCCTCATAACACACTGTATGGCGTATGCCCATCTTCATTAGCCCAGTTCGAAGCAAAACAGTAGGACGTTAAACCATTTCATTTCATTTTCATTGCCCGAACAAAGCCAAATGCTTATCGATAAATGGATTGCTGTCGCATACGCAGTGATTGTTGTATGATTGCAAAGCTATGATCAATTCTTTGATATCGCCCAGAACACCTGTAATTCCAGGTGTCTTTGATTCTCAAATAAGTGCCGAAAAATGGGATAATGTGACTTGATGATCGGGATTCGTTTATTTTTGAAAAAGTGTAATTCTACGGTACGACTCTTCAGTTGTATCTTAAAACTCTTTTAACTTAATATTGAATGGACAAAGTTTGTCTGAATTTTTTATATCTAGAGGTGTCTGACTAAATTGTGTAGTCAAATGAAAAAAAAACGAAGATATTGATATCCGATCTGAGGCGCTAGCCAAAGTGAGTTTTTCAATAGACACCTTCTCGTATTATAGCACATTTCATTTCTGCGATTCGTTGTCTAATTTTTACAGCTGAATAAAAAAACACTACGCAAAAAAGAAACGAATCCCGATCGTCGAATCGCATTATCCCTATTTGTCGGCGTTCGTACTTTTTAGAGATCAAAGACACCGATAATACACTGAAAAAAAACTTGTGTTGGATCTCAACACAAGTACTTGTGTGAAAATTATTCTACACAAGTTATGTGTTGTTTTGCATTGCATTAACACAAACTTGTGTTCTTTTTAATGCATTAACACAAATCTTGTGTTTTTTCCATATAATTAACACAAGTAATGTGTACCGTCAACAAATATTTTTTTTTAAAATTTAAACTCCATACAAAGTCTTAATCCGGGGTCCACAATAAGAGAAAGGTATTTTTTACTCAGACAATATAGCCAGACAGACTTGAATGCTAATTGGTGTTAAGATGTCTGTAGTTAAAATAAAGTTGGGCCCAATAAACTGGTAGATCAAAGGCCTGTTGAGCGCTCATGCCCGGTGTGATTTTAACAATGGACTCCAAATGCGTTGACAAGAAAATAAGTAAAACTGTTATTGAATGTGATTGGTTGATAAAATCAACGTACTATAGGCTACATTTTGTCTGCGATATCATCTCGGTGGAAGCGGACATTAAATGAAGTGATTTCACACAATAAATTTAACATTTAACAACGTGCTGAAATGATTTTGGAGCAGTGATATGTTTGACAAATGTAAGCTAATGGTCACATAGAATACAAGACCGCAGGTTTGTGAATATTTATATAAAAAAAATAATACCATGTATGTAATTTAGCATCGTTATTGTTTCTCTGTATAATGTTAGTATTTCGTTTCCTTAAAAAAACTCCAACAATTTAAACCGGAAGTTCATGTTTATAATATGGCGCGGTCAGGAAAAAAATTTCGGCATGTTTTCTGAAATCATGCTTAATTAACATTAGTTGTTCGGCGCTACGATGTTGTTCAAATACTTACATTACAGAATCACATTATGATTAAAGCAGAAACGGCTCGACTTGAACCAGCAGGTAAGAATCTGTTTTGAAATTATATCTTGGGAGGTTGGATTGGCGTTGGAGACCCGATTGGCGGCCATTTTGATTCTTGTTTCATGATTTTTTTATATTATAACGATTTTGCCAAGAGTACACATAAACGCGGGCACAGACTAGAAAAAAATCTTTTTACACTTTTGTGTAATTGTAATCTAATTTATGTTTAAAAAAACAACCTTAAATCTAATAAGCAGACGGAAGATATGGACGAACAACAAGAAGAAGTTATGGAGGTCCCAACAACTGAACCTATGGAAGTAGAAGAATCGTTTACAGCCGAAACCCGATACGATGTGCCAGTTCCGGTCATAGAGTCCTCCATCTCAGACGATGCCGACGTTAGTGTCTTCTGCGACGAAGACCCCGTAGTGGTGTATACGCAGGTAGAAGCTGGTTCCTCCCGTGGCAAGTCCAAGTTGTTTAACAACCAAGGGTTTAGTTATACAATTAAGGTAGGGTGATTTATTTTACCTAGTTAACTACCTTGTATAGAAATGTATTTCAGCTACAAAATGTAAAGATAATTAACTCTAGTTAACCCAGTTAACTCTATAATAATAAATGAATTTAATATATTTTAGACAGAGAAGAAAACTACGATTTGGAGGTGTTCCAAAAGAAGCGGACCAACACGATGTCCGGCAACAGTAATACAAGATGGTGATACATACCAACCAGGCTTAAAGAACCATCTTCACCCAGCAGAACCCGGTATACACACGGCTACCAAGATAAAAGTTACAGTAGGTTTAAAAATTATATATCAATTAAATTAAAAATTTATATATGTGTGTAAATAAATAAAATATAAATAAACCAATAATATATTTGTAGTTTAATATGTTTCATCTTATCATTACAGGCAAAGCATGAAGCCAAAGGAAATGTTTTTACCAAGTCATGTTCCTCAATAGCGGAGAGAGTTTTATCCAGTGTCGGTTCTGCAGAAGAACCCATTCATAGCAGACCACCCATGGCAGCACTTGTAAGGTCGCTACAAAGAACCCGACAGACTCTGCGACCAAAAGATCCCACTGACGTGTCGTCAAGCGTAAGTATTCATGCAATTAAATACCCATGTATATAAGAATTTATTAACATGTAATTAAATGTATTTTTTATTTATTTTTTGTTTTAGCTTGACGAAGATTTCATCGATCATAGTGCACCGGGATTTTATCAAAAAAGAGTAAAAGTTGGGGAAAGGCGCCATCACATTTTTTGTACTGATAGACAGATGCAACTACTCGCACGCGCAACAACTTAGTATATGGGTGCAACTTTTCGGGTGGTGAACAAGCCATGGTCTCAGCTGTTTTCCATCCACGCCTTCATTAAGACTGGAGAGACCACCCGACAGTTACCATTGGTGTTTTGTGTAATGTCTGGTAAAAGCCAAGACGACTATTATAAGGTAAATAGCACTTACTGATTGAATTACTATTAATAGTAAAAAAGGACTATTATTTGGGACCTTGAAATTGTCACAAATGGGTCGCACTAGCAGCGACATTTGTTTCAGGCATATTTGTTTCATCGGTGACACGTCCGGTGTCATGTGAATGCAACGACAACAGCCTGGTTGATTGATTTGTTGATTGGAGTTCAGATGTCTACATTAAAATCGACCACTTTCAGGTTGCCGTATTCACGGCCAGACAAGACTGACTTGAAATTTCTAGAAATTTTTCTGGGGGAGACAGGCCCCAACAAATCCCCCGACGGTGCGTTTCACGACTTTGGCGCAAGACGGTGACCTTGAAGAGACGTCGAAAACCATTTAATAGACATAGTAAAAGTCATATCTTACGAGATTATCGCTGGTCTTGTCAGAAAATGCTATTTTATATATGACCAGTTTGTGTTTGAAAAATTTAAAAAGAAATTATTTATTCTCCCACTATTAAAGCACACTAATTACGAAATATAGACATAGTAAAAGTCATATCTTACGAGATTATCGCTGGTCTTGTCAGAAAATGCTATTTTATATATGACCAGTTTGTGTTTGAAAAATTTAAAAAGAAATTATTTATTCTCCCACTATTAAAGCACACTAATTACGAAATATCGCTCTCAGAAACTTCATGGTTTCTTTTGCAATTTGTTTGGGGTAAGCAGGGCTGTCGGTAATTTTTCACAGATGATTAGCAGCACTGCTAATCAAAAAGTCCAATTTTGCCAAATTTGATTAGCAAATTTAAAAATTGATTAGCAGTTTTTCAGTTTCAAATCAACATAAAACACCTAAATAACAAGATTATTTTAATTTTAATTGATAGCAAATGATTAGATTTCATTCTTAAGATTTTTTTTAGAATGTTAGCACTTCTACAGCTAGCTGTGAACATTTCTGAATGAATGTAGACTTTTGTTAGGCCTTATGTCTGAAGCTAATTCTTGGCAGTGGCTTCTTATTTCTTCGTTAGAAAACAATTTCGTCTGCTTTTTATCGTGTGTTATTATTTTTGTTCAATCGGAAGCACGCGGTATTTTACGAATAATCTCGATTAACTAGACGCACGCGATATAAACAATAATAGTTTACGGGAATTCTTACTTTGATTTCTCACTTTACAATACGTTTACACGTATTTATTTTTTATATTTTATTTACAATACGTGGGGGATACACTGAATTTATTTTTTTTTCAAATTGAATACTGATATAATTACTCGAAATTGACATGTCTCGCAACGTGAGTGGTACTACTTGATTCCCTATTTCCGGTTTAATAGTCCCGATTCATAGAGTTATGTCCCTGTATTATATAGTATCATGAATTGAGTCTGGGTAGTTCGAGAAGAAAATGTCACACGGAGAATTCCGTTTTGTTTATAAAATTTATTTGATATTTTATACGCGTTGAAAGTGTTGAGAAATGTGGATAAATCTTTGTGTCAATATCCAAAATGACAGGTATATTATTGATTCGCAGTTACTGCGAATCAAAAACGTTAGATTTTAATTTTTGATTAGCAACGGACAAAATATGTATCGCAAATTGCGCTGCGATACTGGTTGTCGGCAGCCCTGGGGGTAAGACGTTATATAAATAATATCAATCTGTCTACCACACAAATTTAACAGATACAAATGCATGTTATTCCACAGGTAGACAGACAGGGCCTCCTTTGAAGGGACTCAGTAAAGGGAACGCGGTTGGTTTAGAGTTTGTCTGACCCCTTTGAATATTTGCGTCTCATCTCCAATGAAAACATTCATGTTGCTCTCATGCTGTTCTCAACCAGAATCAAACATATATCGTACCCGAGATTTGTTAGCATGTTCCACACAACCCAACATTTATCGGCACCGGGATTAAGGGTGTATATCTTTGTTTCTAACGCTTATTGGGAATACGCCACGGAAACTACAATAAAAACTTATTTACAAAAACATTCTAAAGAGTGAAAACTGACATATTTCAAGCTTTACTGTATTTAAAGAAATAATTTAAATCAGCCGGCTGAAACCCCGTCTCCGCTATTTGTTCAGTCATTCTTTAGGTATAGTGCCAGTTTCCACCGACAATGATATTGCAAAAAAGTGTCCAATTTATAAAAGCATACATTCCTACAAAATGTTTCTTTAGTCAAGTGAAACAATAAATTCATAACTATGCGAGGGTGTGGTGAGTAAATTCGTGGTAAACAAGTCTGAAAAGGCTAACATTGATGTTGACAAATACGTAAGACGATATGAACATCAACTAAAAAGATATGTAATGTGATTCAGCTGCAAGGTGATATATGCATATATGCAGCATAGATAATTAAAACTTCTATTCAAGTTAAACCAACTGTATCTATTTATTCAAGTCTTACGTCGAGCTGAATACATTTTATGATTTATTGTCATCTATTCGTGGTTAACAGTGTGTAACTAAAAACTAAAATTGGATCTTATTATTGCCAATGATATAATGTACATGTAATAGCAAGTGTATATATATTTTTTGTTCAGTCTGTACACAGTAACATATCTGAGAACCATATTATTATCATTTCTGCCCAAGGCTCCCTGTGCCTTATAGTTAGCAGTGATACAAGGCAATTACCAATTTTCCATGTTCTTGGCCTGAAGAAATAAAATAATAAAAGTCAAGTTTTTGTTATTATGCAAGTGGAAAAATACAATTATTCATAGTATGATTTGAATAAATACAACTGATTTGAAGTTGGAATTATTATTTGTCTAAGATGACTGGGCATTTACAAATTGAAATAGCTACTCTTCATCAAGAAAATACATGAATATTTTTTTCCCAATTCACCTGGATTTTATTGTAGGTCTTTGTACGTGAAATAGCTTTATTTAACGTCCGCTACCACCGAAGTGATATTGCAGAAAATTAACAAATTCGGATTCCCTTTTAAAGGAAATTTACTTCACTATCGCTGGATTGTATTATATAGGTCATGTCAGTTTTTTCTAAAAATGACGCCCAGAACACAAAACAAACATTGCAATTCAAGGCGGACTGGTGTCGAGGCTGTATCCTAAGAATGATTTTTTGAATATTTAATCACACAGAAACACAAGTATGCAAATGCAGTTATGATATAATATTAAATTAGCTTACCTCAAATACCTCGAAATATACTGTTTGGTCAGTTTGTCCGCCCGCCATATTTCTATTAGTCACACATCCTTCGGCCAATTAAAATGGACGTATATTTTGTTTTAACCGAAACGAAAAATTTGCGTTATAAATAGTAAACGAGCTTGATTGACCGACCACTGCTAATGTTTTTTCGTGAAACGGTATAACTGCAATCAACACACGGCCGCCATTCTCGATGATTGACAACTCACGTTTTTCCTCATCCACCATTTGCCATTGTTGCCATTTCTTATATTTTCCACAAAAAAACTTTGCCTTGTACGCACTAATTTATCAATTGGTATTGCCATCTACGACAAGCATGTCAACGTGCAGCTCACGGATTATCGTTAACAATTTCTAGGGGCTTGTAAAAAAAGATTGCATGTCGTGTAAATATTTATTTTGTTTTTTGTGTAGGTCATTTTCAAATAAATTCAGCAGCATATTATTTGTTTTAAATAAATATAAAACTTTTATGAGAAACGATGATTATCAAAGAACCGTAAGTGCAACTAATGTTTTATCGTTTGGTTGAGCCTTTTACTAACCACGTGTTTCATGTTAATAGATATTTTCTTTCGTGTTTTGAATTGGCCTATTTCTAATAAATTATCCCGAGTCCCAAACGTCGTATACCCGAGTCCCAAATGTCGTGGTCATATTTTTTTGAGTCCCAAATGACGCGAGTCCCAAATGAGATGTAATCCGTTGTTCAACCTCTGTGAGTCTGTGTAATATTTAATATTAGGCCCCATTTTTGCCTGATTCAGTCACAGTTAATAAATAATGGAACTAGAATCAGCCTGTGGAAGTTTCTCCATAGTTTTATTATTTTT